TGTATATTTATTCCCACGCTTTGAAATAGCTCTCTTAAAACTCATTATACAGTAAAGAGCATAACTGAACTAATAACCACAAGTTTTGTATAAATCATTATTTAGTGTTAAGAACACTAATAAATACAAAAAATTAAACATTACATATATTTCTGTCACAGTTAGAAATAACATAAGTTGTTCTAACAATTAATGTCTTTTTATTTATTAATAGCAACAAAAATAGATTGACTCGGTTTTGCATCACATTCAAAATTTGATAGTATTTATTATGTTATTTATTCTTAATACTTTGTCCACAATACTTTGAATAGCTCAACTTAACTTTGTTACAGCAGTACAAACTTACTCATGAGAAGAGATATTTTAGGTTGCTAACCACTGTATTTAGGTTGCTAACCACTGTAGTCGGAGAACGTCCTTAAGTTTTGTTTCATCTGACCAAATGACTCGTTCCCATTCAGCAATTGTCCAGTTTTGATAGTTTTTGGCAAATTTCAAAGTTTAATATTCTTCTTTGATAACATTGGCTTCTTTATTTTCTTAATACTTTTAAGATCAGCTTTTTTAAGAGACTTTCAAGCTGTCCACTTGCTTATGCGTATATTTGTGTCTTCTCTGAATAATTCTGCAGCCATACTGGCACTTAAAGCTTCACCAAATGTGATATAATGTACAATTCTTCGTTTCTTGCGGTGATGATATTTTGGGTCTTCCTCCAATTTTCGATAATTTATTTTTACAATATTTTTTTCTTATTCTTTGGACTGTTGATTGACTAACACTACATTTTTCTGCAACTTGACGCGTTGACAAACCGTATTAGGTAGAGAAGTAATTTTTAAAATACAATTTAAAGAAATTGGCTTCATATTTATTATATATATATTCATATTTTATTCGTGTGTCTTTTCATGTGGCTGACTGCGAAGAACTGAATGCTAAGACGTAAAGTTATATAATATAAAGATATGGAACGGCTAGATGTAAACATGTTGCTAGAACATTTGATGTAAACATTCCATTTATAAACTGGTGCAAAACTGAGTCAACTATTTTTCTTTATTATATTTAAACAAAATGCTCTTTCAAATCCGTAAAAGTATCTTACATAAGCTAATATAAAACTAATATATATATATATACAGGGTGTCCCAGAATTGGTTTAACATCTCTCGTAGACAGGTAGAAGGAATAAAACTGAGGTGAAAAGTCCTATACCATTTTGCTAGATTTGCAATAGTTACCGAGATTTTAGTTAACAAAGATCCGCGAATAAGCGTGCATCGGGCTGTCTTACGCGCGTAATTGTGTGAAGCCCGGCGCGCTTCACACAATTACATTTTAATATGTATATGTTATAGTATATGTTGTTATATTAGCTCCTCCCATATGTCGCTATGGGTAACACCGTTAGCGCGCGAAGCGCGGCGGGCAGTCTTACGCGCGTAAGACAGCCCGATGCANCTTATTCGCGGATCTTTGTTAATTAAAATCTCGGTAACTATTGCGAATCTAGCAAAATGGTATAGGACTTTTCACCTCAGTTTTATTCCTTCTACCTGTCTACGAGAGATGTTAAACCAATTCTGGGACACCCTGTATATATATACAAAACTTATTTTTTGTATCACGTATTATTTGCAGCAATAAATAATGATTTACCAAAAATTTTTTACCATTAGTTCAGGTATGCTCCTTACTGTACATACAACAGAATAAAAGAGTGTAAGCATATTATAACATTAGTAACATAGAAAAATTGATTAACCCTCAGTACCCACACTTCGTTTTTTTCCCGTACAACTCACACTAGGTTAGTGTAACTCGGTAAGTTTCTCAGGTCCATATCTTTGGTTAGATTCAACCAATTTAAACGCTTTTTTTTTTAATTTCAAGGGAAAAGACTCAAAATTATGATGATATCAGCCAAAAATATTAATTTGGTATAGGAAACAAGATAGTTTGCAATAAATAAAAAATACTTTGAAAAGTTTTCAAAACATTTATTTTTTTTCAAACAGCTGTATTTTTGTAAAAAAAAAGATAAACTACTTCGTAAGGTGGTCAATGTGAAGCTAAAATATTATACTTTAAGATGCTTTAATCCGTTTTTTGATTCATTTCAAAAAGCTAAACAAATTCTATTTTTAAACTTATCGGAAATGGATTAATGTAACTCAGAAACTTTTGCAGCTTATTATCTTTGGATAGATTCAACTAATTTTTCAATTAATTTTTTTCTTAAATATAAAGTATACAATAATTAACTATATTATTATAGTTTTTAATTTTATAACTTCATCGAATATGCAGGATATTTACATTTACAAAAACAATATATTCAACAGTTGTAAATTATCTCTACAATTGAACATACAAAGTACAAAGCCAAGCGTCTATTACGAAATTACATATTTCATGAAAAAACACTTTATATAGAAAAATAACATATGTGAGTATATTTTTTTGTTTATTTCCAATGCATATCCCATGCATAAAAAATTATTAGAAATAAAATACAATCACTCTTTTACTTACCTCTTCAATTTTCGGTTTTTTATGTTTTAGTTTGGGTTTTGTCACGTACAACCCACACTAGGTAAATTTTGCCTGTATTCGTACTTTCTCATCAAGTACTTTGGTTGCTGAAGAAGCACTGATCGCGCCGAAAGAGGGATCAATAGAGGAAACTTTAAAGTTCCCTCCCCTCTCTCCCTAGTTGGAACCATACAGATATAAGACTAGAGTGCGCGAGTCCTATGCTAGCGCGTAAGTGGATGCGATAGAAGCTTACAAAGAGAAAGATGCATATAAGCCCTCTTTGTCCTTGTCTAATGACGCATGCGACATCAATAGTAGTAGAATTTCTTCACTCTTTCACTTATTATTATTATTACTTTTGTAAAAATATTATAATCAATTTATTTAACTTTCTATTTATAAAGAAAACAGTTATAAAACAGTGATTTGTACTAAAATGGGCTCTGCGTTTGCCTAGCACTCTCAGCGTTGGCTACCGATTAGAGAAGGACAGAAAGGACCTTTATGCATCTTTCTCTTTCTAACTCAATATCGCTTTTTCAGTTTGCTCCCGCACTCTATCTCTTATATCTCTATGGTCCGAATTCCTACTTACTTCACGTTTCAAAAAGGCACGCTTTTGAAAATCGCCCTAGGTTAGCGTAACCCAGTGTGGGTCTTAAGGGGATCCTAAACTGACGGTCGAACTCCGTCAATTTACCGACTGAGTTTACAGCTTTTGGCGTCAGATTGTAGTAATATTTGCTTAATATAAAAAGTTATGCAGTTTGTACGTAGAAAACCAACTGCGTCCCGTTTTCGGAACAACATAAAGAACAATATAGAGCTCTCAGAAATGCGTTTAGAAGCCTAGTATGAATAAATAGTGTGCGTGAATATTTTCAGAACAATATTGGAATACACACACTATTTACTCATCATTTCACGCACACTATTTATTTACACTAACCTTCTAAAAACATTTCTGAGAGCTCTATATTGTTCTTTATGTTGTTCCGAAAACGGGACGCAGTTAGTTTTTTACGTACAAACTGCACAACTTTTTATATTAAAGAATTAGCACTACGATCTGACGCCATACGCTGTAAATTCAGTCGATAAAACAGATTCAGTTTAGGATCCCCTTAAAGGTTAAATTAAATTATAATAAAAAGATATAAAGAATAAGCATTTTGTATTTGTAATTTTTTTTTATCATACAAGATCATATAAAGTTTCTATTGTAATGTAGTTTATTTAACATTGTAAATAATACTTGATAAATTAAGTTTTCAATGAATACGGCGCATATACCGGAATTACTCTAACGAGTGTAAAAAACAAAACAAATAATTATAATCCAGAGACTGATGATATTAAAATTTATGTCAACGCTAAATTTTCTTTTATCGTATCCTTTTTCCTTATGTGCAGAAAATTTGAAATGCGCCAAATATACTATATTTCGATATGATTGTAGTGCAAAATAATATATGAAAGTACAGTCGGCGTCAATGAATCGTTTCGTGGACGCGGGGAGCTAGGGGTAGAAGAGGGACGGTATTCCCTAACTGTAATTGGTCAATTCATCGAAATCTGCTACAGTTAGTTAGTGCGGCGCCCGTTGGCAGTACTTACTCCTAGGGAATACCGTCTCTCTTACCCCTAGCTCCCGGGGCTACGAAACGATTCATTGACGCCGACTGTACACAGCGCGTCAAGAATTCGAAGAGTAGGCGCGGGATCGGAGGGAAAGCGGGGCGGTTGCTTGCCAACAAGCGCCGTACGAATCGTACGGCCCATTTGCCCTCCGATCCCCGCGCCTACTCTTCGAATTCCTGACGCGCTGTATACATATCTAATTGAAACGCGTTTCTATAGGATTCACTCACGTTTTATTTTGGACGTACACATATGGATTATATGTGCAAATCAATTGTCAGATCAACGGTTTTTATATGATTATTGAGAATATAAAACACACTCACAGCAATTATCCATTATTGGTTCTCTCGGTCATCTAGTACGCTACTAACGATTATTAGATTGTTCGGATACATTCAATTTAATAGTTAGAATTATTCGTAATCATCGACGCACACCAGAAAGATACTTTCGGACACGCGCTTTTCAAAAATCAATTGTTCCTCATCAAAAGTCAATCTGTCGATTAAGTCAATTTATTCATCCAATTATTTAGCAAAATATTGCTTGATTTACAGATGGATTATTTTATTGACGTTCTACCTTTAACTAGCTCGTGAACTCTTAACAAATGAACATTAGCTTTTGTATTTGTTTAACATTTTGAAAATAGTTCGATAATGTTTAGCGTAAACATATTTTCATTAATTTTTCTGAGAGTCTTTGTGTTTTCTGTGTGTATTGATAAAATTATATTTTTTCCGAATATATGTCGTGCCTGTTAAAAGGTTTAATATCCTGTGTACACGTGTGAGTTGTTTCCTATTTTTCAGGTCGAGACTGGAATATTACGAGCAGAACTGCGCGGTCGACAGCGTGACAAAGAAATGCGCCGGACCGACCTCGGAATGCAGGAAAGCGATGCTGGGCATTCTAGGCACCGAGCTCCATACCAATTGTGTCTGCAAGGGCAGTGAGATCAACCAAATGTACGGATGTTTGGGCTGGCAGCGGCTCCTTTGGGTAAATCCCTGCGTAGGTAAGTGAAAAATCTTTGAAATCATTATCTGTAAAAACGCGACTACACCAACAATCTTGAATTAAGAAAGTTGGACACTTAATAATTCGCTGTTCGCTAATGATCTCTGATCTTTGATCTCTGGTATGTGTGTATGTGTGTGTGTATGTGTATATAGAGAGAATTTACGTGACTCTTATAAGTGTTTGCGCAATTTCCTTCAGGGAGAATATTGTGATAACGTTGTAACGCTTCAAAATTTATTTCGAGAATTTCCGGAAGAATACGTAAAAACCTGAAAAAGTTTTTTTAAATAATTGACTTACTTTTAAACAAATGAAAATATTTCCGGTACATATCGAATTATTCAAAAATGCAAAATCTAATTGATACTGAATTATCAAGAGCAATAAAAATATTCACACACTGGACTGATCGTTATCGGAATGTTAATTAATTGAAAACTGACTATAACTAACTGCTTTAGCTGGTAGTTGTTTAACTCGTAATATGATTTTATCAGCGCAACGCGATATTTCCTGTTCGGTTTTTCATAAAAACGACATTTTGCTGTGAACGTAATTTCCTTCTTATTTATGCAAAATAATATTTGTAATTTTTTTGAACAGTAAGTTCCGGAAGCATTGTATTAAAATTGTTTTGCTAAGAGAGTAAACTCGGTTTCTTTTATGAAACTTGAAATTTAATCCAAAACTTACGACAATACTAAAAATAAAAAATATTTTATTAATTTTATTGAGAGTACATAACATTATACATTAAGTATAAAGTATTTATACTATATTAATAATCATATATATATAAAAAACAACTTTAAATTATTTCACAATACTAAATTACTTAAAAATTATAAAACATAATTAGTAACCTAATCTTTAATAAAAAAAAACAATGACAGATACTGAAAAAGTTATAATGGCGCATAACGATCACTGCGATTACTTCTTCGCGCTTACTCACCGTGTGACAACTTATCCCGTCTCAATTTGAGTCAACTTATCTCAAACGTTCATTTTAAATAAAAGATATTATATTTATAAACTGCGATGCGCGATGACGATTAAATAAATATAGGAAAACTTATTAAAAACTACCATATTTCCTATACATAAGGTAAAATTGCAATTAGAAATTTTAAAACCAATATAAAATTACTAAAGAATCGAGATCAGAAAAATCTACTTGCCATATCCAGTTTTACAAAAGTGCTCGTAAATATCATATATAATGTTTTTAAGAAAAGTTCTTTCGTACACGTTACTAGCACAACTAGTAGCAACTTACAATAAAAAGAAGAATATTTTCCAAGATTTAGTAAGCAAGAATAGCAGTTTGACAACTAACCCCGTGTCACAACTAGCCCCGGTCTCCCCTACTCACATAATAAAAAAGAAAAAGTTCACTTTTTAACTATATTGTCTTAATCTTGTTTCATGAAAGAAATTTAATTCAGCTTCGCTGTTTTTTATTAAGATATTCACAACAGCGGATATAAAGGGCCGGCAAATTACAATAGACTCGATTTGGAAGTTGCTGAAGAGTTCATCCGGCGTTAATTTCTATTCCGGGACGCTTTATGTACAAACATTAAAGCGTGTATAAGCAGCGTAATTGTACGAAGCGGCTGCCAATGCGTCTAGGCATGATGCACTTCCAGAAGCGCAGGAGATGCAATTTCTTCGTATCTAAATGACTTATCTACCGACTGAATGCAGCCCATTGCGTCCGCGATGCTTTACAACTCGACGGGGTCAAGAAGATCGATAAGAGCCAACCTGTGTCGTTTGTTCGACCGGTGTAATTGCAATTCTGCGCGTGACACTGCGACGTAACTGTATAGATCGCCATAGATCACCGTAGATCGCATTACAGATCTGTCTTATTCGGAATATTCTTAATATAACGCCATGCGTTTTAACTTTCCCTCGATATTACCGTCAAGTCTTACAAGAGCGCGCTATCTATCCACTTTTTAAAAGAAAAGCAAGAAATTAGGTTGTACGTTGTCGCCATTGCTGTGCAATTTTGCGAGGCGCGTTTTTCACAACGCTGACGAGCCTAATAATCTATTTTGCCGAAATAAAAAGTTGCAGGTCGCCGAGCTGCAGCTCGTAAAATATTATTACGCGCATCTTACGTTTCCTATTATTGCTGTAGGCGTCTCGCGGGGGCGAGAGAGGAAAGAGGCGCCCCCTTGAAAGTGTAATCACCCCGGAGCCCCCCCTCGGTAGTTGAAATATTTCAACAGCAGCTGCGCCGCCGGCGATACAGAGACCGGGGCGACTTTCCCGATACTTTCATACTTCCGCGCCGGATGGGGCTACACGTGTACATTCAACTGCAATTTTACAGGCTCTCCGTTCGGCACTTTATATTGCTTAGCGGTTGTTATTTGCGGCCGCACGTCCGTTTCTTGGCGCGCGCAAAGAGGGAAAGTATCAAACCCGAGATCGCAACAGCGACGACGATTCCGGACGGCAGTTTTTCCCGCTTATTATTGCGCCGTGAAACGCCGCAACTTGCGACAGAAAGTGACGGAATTTTTTGGAACAAAATCCCCGAATGTGGAAGCCTCGCGCGAATAATATTATACGAGAGTGATATTGTGACGAAAAATTAAATGAGAAAGTTTGCGTTCAACTCGACACGCAATAGTGTAATGGACACAGCGATGGTGGAAAATATGAAAAATCATATTAATGACAAATTTAATATTGCAAAAATACTTCGATCTCTTCATTTAAATAGAAAATTTTTATAATAAACTTTGGACACAAAGCGTCATAGAATTAATTTACTTTGATGCAAAAAATATTTTTACCTTCTGAAATTGGACACAAAGCAGATAATAATTTAATGTAAAACGCTGGCACCGTTTATTATTGTTATTATATACCTCTACTACTTACTTTCATTTTGCACTTCTAACGATTACTTTTTTTCTCAGTTTGATGAGTTTCATGAGATATTATCGTTGGTATGTTTACAGTGGAGTCACAAAAAGACTATCATGGACGTAGGAAACATCATCAGTTGCGAACGACGACGATGAAGACGACGACAATAGTTGTCTCGTCACCAGTGAGCACTACGGCGACCACTACAGCCGAACTCGAAGATAATCGAACACCGAAAGTGACGGCGTGGTCGACCGCCGAACCCGCGGAAACTTGGGAAATCACAACTACTACTAGCACTACCGTTAGCAGCACCACCATAAGCAGCACTCCGAGCACCACTACGACCACCACTCAGGCGCCACGTGAGTTTGTAAACGCGTTCATCATTATTAGTTCGCTACGTAATGATTGTCAATTATTGATCGAATTCTGCTGGGTTAAATCGAATTTCCGATTGTCAGATTTTAATTACCTACTAATAATAATTATCTTGCTGATTTGATGGCGAATTCTTAGAATTGTACGGATAAATACATATACCACTAAATAATCGGTTATATAAACCTCTTAATATTCCATACCCAAAAAGTCACTATTACGGATACTTTTAGTGCAATAAAAATTAAATTGTTTTAAGATCTTTTGTACTTCAATAACTCTTTATTAATAATAATTCTTTAAGTAATTTTTTAAATCGTTTTCAAAATTGTAGAACTCTTATTTGTCAATTAGACATATGTTCAATCTAAAGATGTTCAACATCCCTCAAAAAGAGAGCTTGTTGTGTGTTTGCGGAAAAAAAGTAAATTTTTAATTTTTTTCTTTGCCGAGAAACAAATTAAATAGATCGCCCACGGGGGTGAGATGCGACGAAAAGAGAGATTGATAAAGGTCTGGAAGAAACAATCTGGTGGAAAAGACGGCCTCTCTCACGTCATTTTCTTTGCAGGCTTCTGCGCGGTTCAGAGGGCCGGGCACAGAAGTCCCCAATACATAAGAGAGGGCAAAGGCAAAAGGGTGAGTCGCAATCTCCTGAGTCTCTCGCGCGATCGTCGACGTAAAAGCACCCGTTGCTCTCGAGCGACGACACGACGCTCGCTCGAGACTGAAAGAAAAGCAAGGGGATTTGTGAGCGTCATGCGCGATGCTAGTAGTGGGGAGAGAAGTGCCAGAGAAAGTCGGATATTTGCCGCGCGCACACTAGTCTTACCATAAAAGGGAAATCGACCGCGATTTTACCTTGAATCTCAATCTGACGTCGCGACATTGTGCCTCTTTAACTCTTCTCGTCTTACACAACGAGAGGTTTTCCCAACTCTATAACTCAAGCTAAGAGATTTCCGATAAGATTCTCAACGATATCAAGTTACACGTACATATATAGATATATTTGTAAGAAGAATTGTGGATTAAGTTAGGTAAGAGTAAAAAAAGAACTTTTGCACATAGAAACAGATTGATCTTGAGGCGTTGTATTTAATATAGATATGTTACAATGAGATTTAGCGCTGACTGCCGACTAACTGCTGTTACAAATCGCTTCATCGAAGAAACCTTTGATACGTCTTCTCAAAAATCCCTTCTTCCATTATCAAATGCCGTTGTATCGTTTAATACATCAAAAACAGAAATGTCTATAATACAGAGTAAATAAACAAAAAAGGTTTTAGCCGTCGCTCGTTGTTTGTTAAAAAATTATAAACAAAAGAGTTGCATCAATAAACTCTTATTTTCCGACATTTAATTTGTTGGCGTATTACTTTTTTGTTGCATAAATAGTTTAGTTGGACTAAATCGTATGTCAAATGAAGGAATTTGTGTAGGAACGTGTTTAACGCTTGTTTGCTCATGGATAATTAAACTACATCAATGTGTTGAGAAATATAAACAAAACTACAGGGTCTCTTAATAAGACTACTTTGTTTATACAATTATGACTTAAGGCTCGTGAAATTACCAACAAGATATGTATAAGGCCTTACGAGCCATTCTCAAGATGTTTTGAGTAGAAACTTGTACGTGTATATATATACATACACATGTAACGAATTCAACTTGTAAATTTTTACAAGTGAGTGTTTTTTGAGTTGAAAACTCAATTTTTAAAATCATACGGGATGCCAGATTTGCATCTCACATATGTGAGATTTTAAGAATTGAGTTTTCAACTCAAAAAACACTCACTTGTAAAAATTTACAAGTTGAATTCGTTACATGTGTATGTATATATATACACGTACAAGTTTCTACTCAAAACATCTTGAGAATGGCTCGTAAGGCCTTATACATACTTTGTTTATGTTGTTTTTGTTCGTGTTGTAAGCATTATAAGCAGGGAGGACTTTGCGTCTTTTTCTGCACCTCTCTCGAAAAACCACGAATACACTCTCAACATGACGCGACATTTAATCAAAAGCCGTTCTTTATTTTTTCTTGAGAGGATGCAGAGAAAAGAGCATATATGTTTTAAAAAGTTTTAGCCCATGCTCATTGTATTGAAAAGTTATAAACAAAAAACTTTTTATGAATAAACTCTTATTTTTCGATCCCATGTACATTTTCTTCGTGTTTTAAGTGTCTAGGCAGAAGGGAGGAGCTTCGTTTCTCTCCTTGCTTTTCCTTGCTCCGAAAAAAATAAGGAATGACTTTCATTTACATTCGCTTAGTGTCGAAAATGTTTATGTCGTGCGTACACGTGTGCGGTGATGCACGAGCAATCGGAAGTCATTCCTTATTTTTTTCGGGTTAGGAGGAGCAGGGGGAGAAGCAGGGGGAGGAGCGAAGTCCCTGCGTAGCCCTTCCTCTTGCCTAAACACTTAAAATACAAAGAAAATGTACATGGAATCGAAAAATAAGAATTTATTTATAAAACTTTTTTGTTTATAACTTTTTAAAATAAACAATACGAGCTTTACCTTCATATTATTATTCAGGAGCGTAAACTTTGTAACATATATAAACGAGAAGTTGTATGTGTGATTGAAGGGGTCTTCCCTATTCAGCATTTTTACCAAAAAACAGATTGAAAAAACTTTCAAGTAGTTTTGAAGATACATTTGAAGAAGCATTTGAGGAAAAGACAAGTTTTTGGTAATTATATACAAAGTGGTTCTTCTCACTGATTTCAATGACCTTAAAATACATTGTTAACGACGTTATTCTGAACAACTTTTCTTTATACATGTTACCGCTACTCGGCTGTAGTTTTCGAGTTATACGCTAAAAAATTTTTATAAATAAATCTTTGTTTTCTAACATTGTGTTGATTTAAGAAGTAAATATTTTGTTTGTACGACACGTGTAGGCAGGGGAGTTTTGACAACTCCTGCAAGGGGAAGGACTTCTTTTGTGTACAACTCGAAAACTAGAGCCGAGCGGCGATAACATAGGGAAAAGTTGTTCAGAATGACGTTCCTAACAACATATTTCAAGGTCATTGAAATCGGTGAGGAGAACTACTTTGTATATAATTACCCAATTTTTTACTAATATTTCAGTTCGAGTTGCAGTTCCCGTAAGCGCAAATCGGATACTTTGCATAACTTAATAAATTGCTGTAAAACTACATAAATTTTGACAAAATTATGAAACAAAAAACACATCACTTACTTGATATTACAAGTGCCCAACTAAAAACAATTTACTTACTTTTTGAAAAATTAATGTCTCCTATAGACTTGGATCTGTTAGACTTTTTTCAATTTTCACAACTAAATATTCGCAAAGCGAATATTTGACGGCTACTATTGGACGGCTGACTGAAGAATGTTGACGCTGTCAACATTCTTTACCGTTGTCTAAGGTTCTAAAACTTCTTTTCAGGGTCCTCAGATGTCACTAAAAACTAATATCTAGAGACAGTTTGAAATTTTTGAGTGGGTCTAAGAGACCCAGTCTACGAACAAAGGGTTAATTGATAATAAAATTTATTTATTTATAAAATACGCGCTGTGTGTGTGTGTGTGTGTGTGAAACGTATGATAAGGTAAATAGTAGTAATTAATCGTAACGCATTTACAATAGCTTTATCGTGACGAGGAACCCGAATGCTCGGACGTCTGTCATTGCGAGAAAGTCGATCAGGTCTCCTGCAACACTATCTGCGTCGAGTCTTTCTCCTGCCAAACGGACTTCGCTTTCTACAACCACGAAGCACCGGCCTACCAGGCGCATCGGGGTCCATGTCTGTGTTATAGCGGCAGCTTCATATGCATGCGGCCTACGCCTAGTGAGCTATCATCTTTTTTATATTGATAAAAAGTCGTTATTTAAATGAGAGACTTCTTTAATTCTTAAAAATATTATTTTTTATTACAGAAATAAATAGCTAAATTGTTTTAATTTTGTGTGCTCTTGTATAATTTAATTTTAATTAGCAGGTCTTGTATTTCAGTTTCCACACATAATTTGAACGGATTTATATATTTGATAATGAACGTTTCTCTTCTCACTGTGACTGTTTATCTCTTTTTAAGTTTGTGCACGAAGATGAAATACGATTTTCGTGCAAACCCGGCAAGAAACAATTTCTCTTCGCACCAAATAATATCCGGTGTCGTGTTGTTTGCGCAGACTCATATAATATACCGCACGGGGTTTTCATGTTCCTGGGATACAGCGAGAAGGACGAGAGCTTATTGAAGAAGCACAACAACATGACCGTGCTGGACGCGGTGTCGTCTCTCGACGATTTCATGAGAGAGGAAATCAATAATCAGGTGAGGCACGTTTTTATCGGTCGTATTCGTCGTCGTCGCAGGATATTTTTTCTGAACAATGAAATTGGCATTTTTTAAGTAATACCGCTCGAATACGTTGAGAGAAAAATTTTGTGAATTTTGAGATTGCAAAAAATTATTTTAGAACAATTATTTAAAATGGATTTGATGACTCATGGAACGTTCTTGAAATCAGTCGATTAATCGCGGAGTTTATTACATCTCCCGTTACTCTCATTCAGTGTCAACTGGTTCGAGAAGAGGAGAGAGAAGCGTTTCCGGAAAATTCCCAGAATGCAATTAATGCGTAGCATCTCCGATCGGGCGAGCGAAATCTCGATAATGAGAAATGTCAATAAGAAATGTAACGGCTCGTCAAACTGCGCGACGATTAAAAACTAAATCGGATCGCGCGGAATTTAATAATCGCGACGACGACGACGACAACGCCAAGAGTCAAGGGGTCACAGTCCTCGTGTCTTCCATTTACAGACAATATGCACGCTCGTTCTATACAACTCGACCCGAGAAAACGTGATTGCAGTAGCGCGTCTCGAGACCGACAATCTACCCTTAAATAGCAGCCAGGGACAGAGTCCACAGCACCTGCTGCGCGTCAAGGTAAGCGAATCTCGGACAAACCTTTTCGCATTGCAAAGAGGAAATTGAAAGCTTCCGTGCGAGAGCTACAGATAAGTCCGCGAATGCACTTTTCAAGAAAGCGCTAGACAAAGCTCCGCTCTTGTATATCACGTTTATTTTTTTTCTCTTTTTAAATCTAGATAAACTGAATTCAAAAATCTTGATCATTTTTAATTATTATTTCTATAAGGTGCGTTATGTTTTACCAATAGTTGAAAATTATTTACTGTTACTTGAAAATTTCAACTTCGTAAAGTAGTGATCTGAAAATAGAACTTAATTTTTTTTTTTCACGGAAAGATATCTTATTTCACGAAACTTAAAAGTAAATATGTAAACTTTCAGTCGCTACTTCGTTTAATAGAGCGATATATTTTGGATTTCACGTGACATCTCGATTAAAAATTTCGCAACATGATACGTTAAAAATACAGAACGGCGCGGGAGATGATATAAGATAAAAATTTATTGATTTCGATAAAAATTTGCGAGACGTTCTAAAATTTCAATGATACAACTTTCTTCTCTCTGAAACTTACGTTTCACAAATTGCATGTTACTTTTCTTTCGTGTTCGCAAAGAATTAAAATTACAGTCGGCTTAATTTTTTTTCTTTTTTTTTAATCATTTGTATAATACAGAGCAAGATCGTGTGTATACAAAAAATTGAGATTATACAATTTGTGAAGGTTTTGCAACTGCCTTCGAGTTCAAGAAAAGCTGCCTTGCGTGAACGACGGCGATTTGACGCACGCGCGTGCGTGCAGCCGAGCGGAAGTCGGTGCGAGAGAGCGATAACGGGTCCTCGCGAAAGTTTTAATTTCCCCGACGAATCTCCCGGCGTCGCTCGGGCGGAGGATTATCGCGATCAATCCTTGCCTGTTCCTTGCCGAATTTCACCCTCCGCAGAGCGCGATAGATCTCAGCCGCGGATCGCCGATCGATCTGCAAGGTTATTGCACGCGAGAGTGCAACCTTACGCGTGTCTCGGACACATAATGTGGTCGCTTAAAATGCACGCAGAGTGATTAAAACTCGGTGATTTATAGTCCGCTTGCATACACTGCCGCTCGATTCGAGCAGGCACACCCGATATATCATCATGGCCGAATTTATAATGCGTTAAAATACAAGATTGAAATCGCTGATTGACGGTCAGCACACGTATCGATTTTAATGATTGAAGGTGTTAAAAAAACCACCCCTTTTTAGCGCGGAAGAAGTTTCAAGTTTATTTTTAACACGAAACGTGCGAAAGAAAATAGTAAAAATAATAATAATAAGAATGATAATAATAATAATAATAATAGAAAATAATAATTCTATTTCTTTGTTGGAATTTTTCACAAGTTGCGGAATAAATCAAACTTCAACAATAAAATAACAAATGTAGAGTACTGAATAATTGTATTATAATGTTAATTGACTGATCAAGCGTAATTATCGCATTTTTTTGCGATTAATGTATTTTACAAATATTTATATTTATATAAAAAACGCTGAGATATTTTTATAATCCCCGGATTTCCGACGTCAAAAAATTGCACAAAAAAGGGACAGTTCGATCAGTGGAACAACACGGCAATTCGAGTCCAGAATACTTCCATCAAGTTGCAAATGGACCGGCGCTTGATCACAAATTGGAAATCGTTCCGGGAACCAGTATGACTGTGCAAAATGCGTACTGTGAACAGAAAGCAACGCGCATTTAGTGACATGCGGGGTGTCGAAGAGATCATGCGTGCGATCGATGGGACATTGTCGGTAAAATCACCATTCTTTGAAAAATATGTAAAAAAAACATGAGAAAAAAACTTGTATCAAAATCACTTCATATATTCTATAGAACTATAAAATGAATTTTTTATTAAAAAAATTTATAAATACACTAAATTCTATATATTAAAATTTGCGCTTTTAAAAAGAAACGGTATTTTTGCAAAACCAGTGTTATGTCTCAAATAATTTATTTGAAAAGAATAAATACCTTTAATATCTTGATTTTTACTAGACTATAGTTGGTTTATAATACAACGCACTTAATTAACAAATGATTTAGGTTAAATAACAAAGCATGATTAAGATAAAAAAAGAAATCATATTCGGGGTCTAATGATATATTTTATTAACTTTGCTCATCAAACGTTTGTTGGGCGGTTTTAAAGTAGCGACTCGACGGCAAGCGTTTGACGGGATTACGGGAATTCGTTTCTGCCATTGATGGCGGGATAGTTTCGTTTCAAAACGAAACAGTAAAGTGGACGAGAAACTACGCGCGATATAGATATATAGATAAATAGATCGAAAATTGTTCGGAGAGATCGAAGAATCGCGCTAAGGAGTGATCGCAAAGAGAAAGACGAGTTTAGGGAATTGAGTGAATTTATCGGCCTCGGGGATGATTGTTATCATAGATAGAGAATCTCTCTTTCTTTTTATTTCGCGATATAACGGCAGAACTTTTCGCTACAAGTTCGTGCAATGATAAAGGTAGTTCAATCTTCTCTCACTTTCTCATTACTTCTACATATCGACAAAAGTATTAAAAAAAACTTTCAGAATTAGTGTAAATACACAAAAGAAAAAACTTTAAAGTTTAAGTTTAACAAAACTTCAAGCGCTGTAAATACAGATTCAAGTTGTAGAGACGTTCGAAGAGACGACATCAACCTATCGCGAGGCTGTCTACGATAGTCTCAAAATTTTCAGATTCGCATAAGTTTCTCTGGCAGTCGGCTTTTCTCCCTTCTCCTCGTCCCCCGACGACGTTCGTCTCTACCCCTATGTTGGGGGCGGCCCATGGGGCTCGTAGCGACACCATAGAGCGACGAAGAAAGACGGAAACTTGCATTTTCCCTCGGTGACTGCACGTCGCGGCTACATACGTCATAAAACTTTGCTAATATAGCGAAAGACCGTGGTGCCGTCTTTGCGACTCGAAATCGCTCGTTTCTCCCTCGCCCGACATTCGTCTTACTTTCCCTCATCTTTCACTTTCTGCCTTCTCTCTCTTTTCCTCTCTTTCCGTGGTGTTCTCTCTTGTCCCGGTTGCATCGTCGTCTACCGCCGTGCGGGGATTTATGCGATTCGATGCGGAAACTTTACGAGTTCGGATATTCCGCTCGAATCATTATTTGAATTCAGTCGACTGTTTGTCAGCCGGATGCGATCGAGTGTATTCGATCGACGTTGTGAGCACATATTGATCCGCTTTTAATTGGAACTTTGTTGTTGGCGCGATTATTAGTTTCGTTTTACACGATTTGCCAATAATTGTGTCCGATAATTCGACCTGATTCGCTATCAATATCGCGCTCTTAAACTCTCTCTCTCTCTCTCTCTCTTCTCTCTTTTTCTCTCTGCAACCAATTACGCTTGTTCGATTAACCGGAACCGTAGGTAGAAAACGCCTGGAATATTGCATGTCCAATAATGTTTGATTAAAATTGCCGAGCAGTTTTTCTACTGAATAATCAAATTGATTAAATTAAATTTTTAACGTACTTTGGCTTTATATTCTTGTCGAAGTGATATCGAGACAGTTGTTTCCGCTATTCAAATGCCGCGAATTTAATCAATTTCGTTCCTTCGTCGATAATATTATCGAAAGCGCAATGTAGTTACACACTTATACATATGTATAATGCATTTATTTTCAATGTAGCTAATTGAGTTTCGAACAATTTAGTCTTTGGTTTGTCAGAAATTCGTGCTCCGCGCACCGTCTATTTTACGTCGCTCGGAAATAGCGAAAATTTACCGTGTCACACAAAACAGAATTAGACTGTGCATGACTTTTTGGGAGGGAAAAGGAAAGATGAGAAGATAGATTCCGAGGTGATACCCGTGAATATCATAACCGGAAGATAACGAATTATTCTCCCGGGAACATACCCCAGAGTGATACCTCGCGATCTTTATTCAGTAGCGGGAGCGAAGTTATCCCCTTGACGGCGCAGTTTAATCCCATCTTACGGCAGTTCGAGAAACGACGAAAAAGCCGCGGTCTCTCTCCCTGAGACGCGTGCTCCGCCATTTTTCAATTATGCATTCGCATATTTTACCGAAATGCCTTGTCGCATTCAGCAACGAGCGCGACGACAGCTGCCGGACTGCATTTACGAGGTTAACAATAATTCAACGCCCGCCGTTCTTACGCCAACGAATGCATACCAGGTGCTTTCGAGCCCGTCTACCAGTGTAAACGTTATCGTTTATGTAGGTACCTGGATTTTGTAGTCGTCAAATTCTCAAAAGAGAATTTGAGAAAATCTTTTTTTTTTGTCTTACTGGTCGTACTGGTTTTGCAAACAAAAACCATAACTTTGTATAATTGAATTTTGTGTGATTTTCTTTCTCAATAAATTTTGTTGAAGATTTTGCAAAATTATTTATTCAACAAAATAAAAAAGACAATTTGATTTGTTTGCCTTATAAAGCGCTTACACAACTTTCCTGTGAATCTGAGAATGTTTACTTCGCACACAAATAGACAGAATTTCTCACAAATATCGTATTACTTGCACAAAGAGACAATCTTGCGAGAGGAAAATCTGAAAAGCAGAGCATTCCACTCGCGGGTACCATCAGGACGGAGGGATTAAGGATCCCAGAAATAGAGAACTCGCGCGTCCAGAATCCCTAATAATTCAAAGAACCATCTCGACGCCATCGCGGACCTCTCTCTGACCTCTTTCTCGGATTTTCCGCCCCTATCTCGTGAACGGTCGTTTCGATTTTCTTTCGCTCTCGCAATTTCGTGCCGAATCGTTATTATTGTTTTTCGCGTTCTCGTTGTTGAAAAACAGAATGTCGTGGAAAAATTGCAAAGGTCGTTAAAATCGGTCACGTATCTTTTTCATCTTTTTTAACTGACAGAGTGGATTGTCGTGTTTAACATCGTCGCTAAACATATGCTCGTGAGTATGTAATGAAGGCGGCGAGAAAAAATATCGTGCGCAACGACATGCGAGAAATCG